GTGGTGGTCAAATCCAATGTTTTTGCTATAGTTACTAATGGCATGGACTATTATTTTATTCTCCAGGCTTGGTGCAGTGATGTGTATGGGAGTGACAGCTGGTGCTTATATCCTAACTCTTTTTGCTGTATGTACCCCCATTAACTTTGAAAGGAAAAAATATGCTATGTAGTCTTATTATGAACTTATGTAGTCATTTTTCTTACTGGTTTGTTCTTCTTTGGTATTTTTCTACAGATGAAATATAGAGAGCGTGTTCTAGGTTTAATACTTGTATCTCCCTTATGCAAAGCACCTTCTTGGTCTGAATGGTTTTATAACAAGGTTCCTTTCAAATTCTTGCAGAATTTGTATTATGAATTCACTGATAATGATAACATACTCAGACCACTTGTGAATATTTTAGGTGATGTCAAATTTGTTATATTTCTACGGTATGTGTGGCTTGTTGAAGGAGTGTTTGCTTCAGCGATACTTCAGCAAGGTATTATAATACAACTATGCAAAGTGTCTTTGGTTCTGTTGTATTGTCATATTGAGTTTTCTTGGTCAATTTTAACAGGAAGTTCGCGGTAATGTTGAAGTTCCAGAATCAGAGATAGTTCAAGCTTGCAGAAAAGTCAGTGCTATGCTAATTTAGTTTCTTCGCCCTGTACTGCTCTATAGCTGGAATGTGATTGCTATTCCTTTTCTCACTCTTTAAGTGTTTGATGTATTCACCTGGATTTGCATTGTGATGTTTCTTTTTTCAGTTGCTGGATGAGAGAAAGAAAACAAATGTCTTGCGGTTTCTTAATGCAATTAATCAGTAAAATCTCCTACATGTTTGCTTCACCTTTGTTTTATCTTTATCTGTGGTCGTGTAAATTGGAAAATTTATGTGCTAAAACTTTGTTTTGCCAAATTGCAGGAGGCCTGACATATCAGAAGGGTTGAAAAGATTAAAATGTCGTACACTTATTTTTGTTGGGGATAGTTCTCCTTTCCATTCGGAGGCTCTATACATGACTTCAAAACTTGATAGGAGATATAGTGCCTTGGTTGAGGTATGTATGTGTAAGGTTGTGGTATGTATTATGTATGCATGAATGTATGTACAGAAGAAAGCATAGCAAATAGGAGATGGATAAACGCTTGGGTGACGTTTTCAAATTGATTTTTGAATGAAATTGACTTTAATTAAAGTTAATTTTGAACTAAAGTAATTTATGTTTATATATGTTTTTATTTTAAAAGTAAATTAGTGGTAAAACTTGGAATAAAACTTTAGAATGACCAAGCACATGGATCAGCTGGTATGAGGTTGTTCTAGGCTTCCAGCTTAACTAGTAGTCTGAAGTTTGAGTTTTGGATATGCAACATGTTATTATTTAGTCGATATCTGATCGTGATTATTGATAATCCAACATGAATCTAAACAAACATTGATGATATGGGGGTTTCATTTTGCAGGTGCAAGCTTGTGGGTCAATGGTTACAGAGGAACAGCCACATGCAATGCTGATACCAATGGAGTACTTTTTCATGGGTTATGGGTTGTATAGACCAACCCAGTTGAGTGACAGCCCAAGGAGCCCACTAAGCCCATCTTGCATCTCTCCGGAGCTACTTTCTCCAGAAAGCATGGGATTGAAGCTAAAGCCTATAAAGACCCGTGTTTCCTTGCAAGTTTGAAAATAAATAAACCTTTGTCTTTTGTAATTTGGAAGCAGTTTTTTTCTTGAGATTTTTTTATTGTTTTAAGTGGGGAGGGATAGACAAGAGGTTGTAAGAAGGGTTGTAGATAGAAGAAAAGAGACATGGAGAGAATACATGAAATATAGGGAGGACTTGTCTTGATTCATTTGTAGGTCTGTCTTCAATAAAGGAATAATTGAGTTGTATCTGTAAATCCCACGTGGACTCAATTTATTTATCATTTGTTAAGACATGTTTCTCATTACCATCGGAATCTGGTAGAGGGTTCAAATTTTAGATGCATATTTTAAGTCAAATTTATCGAAATAAAAAAATGATCATCCTTGTGTGAATGTGTAAAGTCCTTTACTGCAGGAAACCGTGATCTCATTTGCAGCTGATTGGATCGAAGTTTTGACTTTTGCATATTATGTTATGTTACTCCCCTCGGTCATTACTGCAGTCTTAACATTCATAAAGTATTTCAAAAGGTAATGTTTTCTTTTCAATTAGTGTGGGATGAATGAAGTTTTAGTTAACCTCAAAGCTTGTGCATAAAATAGTAATGGCACCCTCTACTTACACGAGGTAACGAATCTTCAAACCCCAGGCTTCTGAATACTCGTGTGCAAAGCCCTGGTATGCTATTGGTCTATTGTTTGTGTATTAGGAATTAGCATTTTAAAGTTGATGTGGAAAATTGCATGATACATGTAATAAGATACCATGGTAATACGTATATGCACCACATGACACGACTATAACACTTATTTTAATCTATGAAATTATAGCATTATGTTCCTTTATCTTTGAAATTGTAATTTAATATCACTTTAATTCTTAAAATTTTAATTTAATGTCACTTTAGTTCTTAGATATTATCATAATTTTACTTTAATCAAGTAATTAAGACTTAAATATTTTTATAATAAAATAAATAATTAAATTAACATTGTAAAAAGGATGATAAATATATTCAAATCATATTAAAAATTTTGCATTTAACATTAGATCTATATATAAAATACAAACAGTCATATTGCGCAAGAACTTCTATTTGACGAGAGTTTTTAGAGATTCTTTTAATTTCATATCAATTCAATTTTTATTTATCGTAAATGTTTATGAATTAATTAATTTTTTAAAATGAATTATCATTAAATAAAAATAATGTAAAATAATATAAATTACTTATTATAAATTTAAAATATAACTTATATATTTAAAAATAACTATTTATTCAAAGTGTGTTTATATATATATTGTATTCAAACATAATATTTATTTATATGCATAATTTATTTAAATTTTAGTTATATATAATAAATATTTAGTATGTGCATTGATCAAATTAAAATACTAATTTTTTTTATTCTAAATATGCTACATCTCTTCTTCTAATCGTAATTGTCCCTTTCTTTTATCCATTTTATTTTCTAAAATGCATAAATAAAAATAATTTCTAATTTTTCTATATTTATATTTTATTTTCATAATTAATTCTCTTAAACAAATTAATTCTTATTTTTCTATTGTGAAAAACGTCTATTACTTTTATTTTCCAAAAATAACATTTTTTATGTCTTTAATATTCCATTTTTATTTTAATAATATATACGCACAAACACAAACATTAGAATATTTTTTAGATGAATATATTTATCGTTATATTTACAATATTAACATGATTATATATATACCTATTATAAAGGGGATACTGGGGGCATGTAACTGTTTTTTATCTTCACTTTTTAGTGTGGATAATTATAACCATTAGATGGTAAAGAAAAATTTCTTACATCCTCTTTGAATAATTCCACTCAACCTTCTAATATTCTGTTTGTGTGTAAGTATTAGAAACACAAAATGTCTCTGCCCTCTAGTATTTTATTATGTAAATATTCAAGTCATAATTACTTGATTGAAATAAAATTATGATAATGTTTGGTGATTAAAGTGACATCAAATTAAAATTTTAGGAATTAAATTGACATTGAGTTACAATTTCAAGAGACTAAAATGACAATGATACAATTTTAAATATTAAAATGATAATGTTATATATATCGTGATATATATACATCATGTGACAAACTTATGTGACACACGTGTCATCTTACATATGACACTTTCTGTTTAAAAAAACAAAGCTTATTTAATGGAAAGACTTTAATGAGTGGTGGATTACATTTTTAGAGACTTTTTTGTTAGTTTTATTATAATCAAGTACTAAATTGAGAACGATATATAATTTTAGGATTAATTTGACCATTTACTCTTCGTATAACTAGGAAATATTTCAATTTGAGTAAAACAAAACATTGATTTTAGTGGCCATTCATATTAAATCACTTGTTTGATATTAAGAAGGTATTTTATTATGAAAATTGGTGACTAGGTAGTGTGGTAGGATGCTATTTTTTACGTTTTCTGATATGAGAGGGAGAGAGATTAAATATATTTATAATTCTCCAAAATGAAGTATTTCAGTTTTCCATGTTTAAATTTGATGATACCCTACAATTTGGAAGTTGTACTCCAACATTTGCTTGCTAATAAGCATCTGTGCTTTTATTTGGTTTAACACCGTTTTTCTTTGTCGATGGAGAAGACCTTATGGAGTTATGGGTTCAAACTTCCAACAAAAAGCACCCATCGGCCTTATAACTCATCGGATTACACCCAACTTGGCTAGTTATCCTCTCCAACAAAAAGTTCGTTCAATCTCAGTAGTAACAGGAAGAGCACAACTCCCATGTGTACCATTCATCTCATGCAATGACATTACCTTCACATGCACTTAAAACTACAGTTCAAATAGTTACATACTTTAGTTCTCAGAAGATCCTGCGTGTGCTGCTGTATAGAACTCCGGGGAACGTTCTGTTGCAAAATCATCTTAGGGAGCTAATATGGAAACTATGTTAACGTCTTTGGAGTTACTTTTCTTATGGCCTTGTTTTATAATGTTAAGAGCAAATGGAACTTGGCATGAGTGAACCTGAGCCTTCACCCTGAACTCTTCCTAAAATATAGCCCGGGGCCCCGTGTTTGGAGGTTTAATCCTATATTTACATGATGCAGCCTCACACAGGTTCCGTGCACGTAATTCTTCTTCAGGGCATATTGGCAGGAGCACCTATAATGAAAATGCACTTAACAGGCTGGCTACATTAACAAACATGTAAAATTTGGGTGATGATGAACATAAAAAGGAGGATAGCTTGCCCCCAAAATTGGTGCTCACATTTTTATTTATTTGTTTTTTTTTTCTGTTTTTTCTCCCTCCACTGATTGAAATGTCATAGAATCACTAGGTCATTGAAAAACTGCATTCTGCAAGAAAATTATTTGGCCAACAATGCTGAAAGGCGACTTGAAATATACGAAAATGAATTGTAGATACCGGCATGACATTGAAGAAAGATGCAAACATCATCTCCAATCTTATACGAAGGTGGTTGAGAGTAAATAAGACATTCCAAGGCAAGGCAAGCAACTGAGAACTTTTGGCATTTGCAGAGTTTTCTTACACAGGTTCCTTAGTCCAAGATTGACAAAGGAGTAAAGGAACGCAATCAAATGTTGTTACAATCACCGCATGAATGATTTATTTTCAATCAATGATCTGCTATATTTGTGCACTTTCCCTCTAGTGTCTTAATGTTTAAAGAAAGTCAAACGGCAATGAAATTTACGATCCCCCGTCTTGGATGTATTGTAGTGACAGAATTGTTTGTGTCGAGAGGGATTATTCTTCGAAATTTAATGCAAGTAAATGTATTTTCCATTTTCTTGTTTTGGCAACTAACAACTTCCTTTTTTATCAACAAGAACCGGTAATTTGATTGATAGGTTGATCTGGAGCAATCTTATGACTTAAATTTAAGCACTTGCACCCCCACAACATTATAATATTTGTCAAAAAAAAAACTATTGCTGGGCTTTGCATTGAAATGCTTATTCCTTAAATTTTTGATAGCGATCACATTATCTAATGCCTAACATCGAGGATCTCATTTTTTGGGGGGAGGGGGGGATTTAGAGTGTATAGTCCCAAGAGAATTTAAAAAACGAGGGGTGGGGTGGGAGTTACTTTTTAATATTTATTTAAAACAACAACAACAATAAAAACTAGAAATTGATGCAGACCTGTTCACTTCAAGGATGATTGTAGCCAAACTTGGATTTCTAATCCATTTCCAACATGAGTAGATATCTAGGCTGGCCATGGGGCTCCTGCCATCACTGCCTCAATCTCTCGTATTTCCCTGGGACACTTGGTCATGTTGTAGCAACCAGCGGCAGTAACAAGCTGAGTACATCATAAAGCAATAAACAAAGTAATAATCAAGCTCATATACCAGAATAGCTATGCACTTTATAACAATATACTGTTTGATCACAAGAAAGGGATAAGAGATTAAAATTGATCACCCTAGAGATATATCAAATGAGAAAGTTGCTTTTATAGGAGTGAGAAGAATACATATTGACTAACAAGTTTTACTGTAAATGATCAAAATTAAAACACAAGTCGTGTAACTTCTTAAGTATCCTGTGATAGATAGATAGATAGAGAGAGACAAAACAGGCTAGAACTGTCAGTTATTATAATAAAAAAATAAAAATGAGAGCATTTAATTATAACCATTATATTAAGAGTATATTTGGATCTGCGTTCAGGAACCACATCTACCAGAAAAATCAAGTCAAATAGCTCAAAATACACAAACAACTACTTGGAGCTTCAAGATGAACACGTGCCATCTATTATGCGACGTGTTTCCAAGTATGCACAAAAATTGATGGTTCAGATTGCATATTTAATTATAAATCTCACGTGTTCTTTAATTTAAAGGAAGAAAATCACATGCGACTTATAATTAAATACACAATCTAATCACTCAATTTTAATCAAATAGTTGTAATTAAATATTCTCATTTTTTTACCAATACCCAATAGTTCTCTTTTTTCACTTATTTTTTAAAAAATCAATTACCTTTTTGGTCCCTATAGTTTTATAAACTTTAATTTTTAGTCTTTATAATTAAAACATTTCATTTTAGTATCTATATATATCATTTTTGTTTCTTTTTATTTCCTATAATTTCATAAACTTTTCGTTTTAATCCCTATAGCAATAGACAATTAAAAGGAAACAAAAATGGTATGTATAAGCCAATAAGGACTAAAATGAATCTTTTTAACTATAGGGATTACAAGTTAAAAGTCATGAATATCGGGACTAAAATGGTAATTAAACATTTTTTAAAAGACTATATTAAACAAATTACATCTTTAGAAGTGTTTTCTCAAATCCAAAGTTGTATATTTGTATATTGCTACCGAACTCCTAAAGAACATGTCGGAGAATAAGTTAGCAACCCTCTCCCAAAATATAGTATTGAATATATGTTTCTTAGGACAAATATTATTAGGTTGAGAAAAAATCAAACATCAATGAGATATAGAGATGATAATTGAAAAAATAGGCTATCCTTAATAAGGTTCAGTAAATGGAATACCACATCACTCTCGATTCGGACTCCACCAAAACCTTTAAATCTATTAATCACTTCCTGGTTTAAGAACTTGGAAGTTTCTGGACTACTCATGGCAGGAAGCAGCAAAGCATCAATAAAGTAGCATCCAGGCTCCACAGTGATAACCTACAAGTGTAAAAATAGGTATCGGGATCAGAGATAAGAAATGAGGAAAATCTGTATTATTAGGTGTATGAAAGACTTGGATCAACTGATTACAGAGCCTAAAAAATGTTTACAAGTATAGAAATGAAAGGAAAACAAATCTGAGCAGTTTGAGTGCTCAGTCTCTCCCAGATTAAGAGTCCAGCCCAATTACCACTTGGCTTCTTCCTCTATTACTTACACTTCCCTCCCAACTGCCTCACATGTGTCACACCACAGCCAGCTAGGCAGTTAGTTGCATATTCTCCCTCCCTAATTTTGATTATAGGTGCATAACACTTAATCGTCCTTTTCCTATACACACTTAATCTCAGCTTTCTTTTTGGGCTCTATCAATAAAGAAGAAGGTTACCTAATCATCAAATTCATATTTCTAGTTCGTAAAATAAAGCACTAACTAAAAGAGATCAAAGAACTGAGAAGACCCCAATCTCAACTGAAGCAACCAGGGTTCACAAATTGCATTATCATTATTTTGATTTTAGGCCTTTAGCTTTATGTAACATGTACAAGATTTATAATCAAAATTCTAATGAAGACTTAAAGTGAAAGACATTTTGCAAAGTTAGGGGACTAAGGTGATCAATGCTTACAATCTCAGGGAGTAAAGAGCAGATTTAGCTGAACTAAGTCATTTGGCAATAACATGTAAAGACAACTAGACGATTCAATACCAGAAAATTTTAACAATCAATAAATCATGGAGTTTTAGGGGCATCATAATTGTGCCAATTTTAATATAGTATAACCCATAGCAAAACATCAACACTAATATTATACTTTATATGAGTTGCTACTTAAAAAAGTTCTGATTACTGAAAAAAGTCATAACTGACCATTCCTTCCCTGAGATCTCTGATTGTCCGCAAAGATTTTAATCCGGGTTCCTTTCTTCTTTCCAGGCCCTGCAAATCAGAAGAAAGTTCTCTAGACATTATATGTAAAAGAAGTTGCTGACACAAGATTAATTATACAAGCCATTAATCAAAAAAGAGGAAGAGGGGCGGTTTAAAATGTAACTGCAGATTAAATTCACAAATACCTTTAAGTAGCCTCCAGGGTCATGTGTGTCAATACCAAGGAAATGCCCTAGACCATGTGGCATAAAAACAGCACCCAAGCGTGCAGCCACCATGTCATCAACATCACTACACCAAAAGTCACAAGTATGCAACATCATAAAAGATCCTAGAGACTGTATTGAGATGAAAGTTTGCCACTGGAAATAGAAAAACACAATATGTCACCCCAATATAATGTGTCCCCTCTTCAGTGACTCCAGAATCACTTTTTCTGCTAATCTGCAATTTCAGAAAGGATGAGTTATGAGCAGAAACAAGGCAATATAACATGACATGACACGAGTGTAAATTAGTGGTTTGAATAATAAAGTTTTTTAATTTTTTACAGAAATTAGTAGGATCAGGGATATTTGGTCAACCCGTTCATATTTCTTATTATCTCTATAACTTATTATTTTCACTATAGGTGTTGTGAACAGCATACAATATCACAATGAAGACTTGGTACAAATATTAGACACCAGAGTTGTTGATTCCACAATGAAGACTGATAATGGCTACCAGACTATATTACTCTTAGGTTCCCCCATTTAAGACAATTGACTGTAATTTCTCATTCAAGCTGCAGACGGCAAAATAAATACTTGTGACTGCATGTGAAAAATTACCTAGGCTACAATTCTGTTATGTTCCAATCCATCAACTAAGTTAAAAAGTCAATAAATTTCACAAGTAAAGCACTAATATAATATACTTGTTCACAGCTATTAACACTTGAAAGTTGAAACCAAGCATGGCAGACATTTTAGTTGCTTAAAAAAAATTATACTTGTACTCAATCATACATGTGCATATCAACCCAGTTTATTCCAGGTTTCATTGCAGATATAACGGCATTATGAGCATCTAGCACAGCCTGCAGAACATGGAAAGCATGAATACATAATTGTTGAAAGAAATGCTATAAAAATTAATTCAGTAAGGTATATGAAAGGTACAATGGCTGGGCCGTACTAACATGCACACAAGTGTCTAAAATTGGTTGAGCCCTTATTGAAAATTATAACGTGTTTGTTAGGGATTTGCACTGCAAATGTTTGTACTGGTGCAATTTTCCCATTCAGTAAAGAATTTAAAATTTGTTTTCCCTTTGATTAAGGCTTTGCATGAAAGGACTTACACTATATATAAGAGATTGATCACTTGTAAATTTTCCATTTACCTGCACCACAAATTTAAAGTTGAGGATAAAATGATTATTCTAGTCAATACAAGCGAACATAGTGTTTGACCCAGCCTTTTTTCGGCTTCTTTTCTCAGAAATATAGAAATTCCTCCATCTAACTTCTATGGAAGCTCTATTTTTTTATTTTTCTTTCATTAAAAAAATCAAATTTTATTTTCTAGAGCTTATTTAATACTGTGTTTGGCCCACCTTCTCATTTTAAGGAGAAGAGAAGCCCAAAAACTAGGTCAAACACTACCTAAGCAGCTAAACCTTAAACCTGGCACACTCACAAAAAACTCTGGATTAATATAAAGAAAATAATGAGACTACAGAAATATAATAAATAAACATGTGAACATGCAAAGGAACCAACTGTGTGCAATTTTAGCAGAGGTATGCAAGTAACAGTGAAACCAAGTAAAATTACTAAAATTAATTACTAAAGGAAAGACTCACAGGGAAAGAACAAGTTATGTCAGATCCATAGAAATGGTACTCAGCTCCCATATCAAACAGCGCCATGTCTCCATCTTCCAAAGTCTAAATAAGATTTTAAAAATAAATAAATAAAATTGGAAATCTCTAAAAAGTAAATAAACATTGATCATCCAATTCAGACTATAACTTCATTTTATTTTGTCTCTTAAAGAATGGAGTTTTGAATATTTAATATGTTAGTAACCAAAGTCACCATATACAACAAATAGTTTACTTTTTCCCGTTTTCAAAGAGTTTCAAATCATTGTTTTTGTTATTTTTCTATAATCTCATTTTTCTGTATTCTTGAACCAGTTACTTGTTCCTACTAGTGAAAGAAAAAATACGGATGACTAAGCATGGTGCTGATTAATTTCAAGTTTCAATGTAGGAAATAATAAATAGGCATACAGGATACAGCCAACACAGCAATTATGCACAATTCAGTTTCCCAGAGGTGGAACAGCACCAAACAGCTTACAAAACTCATATAACCAATCTATTAAGATGAACTGAATCAACATTATGGTAGAAAATCAGCCACAATGGCTACAATTATTTTAAAGGTAAAAGAAAAATGTACTCTTATACCATACCTTGTCATTAGGAGCTGCTGCATGGCCATAATGAAGCACAGCACTGCATTAATACACAGGTGTTAGCCAGCCCACTTTATAATAAAGGTAGCTACTATTTAAAAACCAATACAGACACATAAACATTATGCATGGTATGGCACTAGCCAGTAGTACAAAATTACAAACAGCAAGCCAGCAACAAATCAAACATATATATTCCACACATACATGCACATATATATAAATAAACATTATAGGTGGTGCAGCAGTAGGTAGTATAAATTACAAAATCAGTTTTAATTCTCTTTAGGTAAATGGGGCCAAGAAGATTCTTACACAGGAGCATCAAGTGCAGTTTTATTAAATCAAAAGCATCTGAGAATCACATTTATTGTCATGAATATGGTTACAATATCAGAATTCAGAAATCTATACCTATTATCACCGGTAGCACAAATACATGTATAGGAGCAATGCCGACATCCACCATACATGTAGGTGTGGTGAAGAAAAATGCTTTCAAGCTGATACTCCTTCATGCCCACCTTAGTTTTTTTCATAACCTGTTTCATGGTTATGAACATTGCAACTATTACAAAATCATTTTCACAAAACATTTATAAAATCATTCATACTTCACCACTGAGATTATAAATTCTTCCACTAATAGATAATGTAACCATATACATCTCACCCCCACATGTTCCAAACTCTACCAAATAAATCCCAATAGTTTCCATGAAAAATGGGTAGATAACGAAGTCAAGGGAAAAAAGTACTCTTTTCTGTCTGTTCAGATATATACTAATTATTTTCCCTAGTCTTATTATCTAAGAAAAAGTCATCATTACAGGAAAGCTAAAAGATACCTCCCAGTCCCCAAAATCACTTTCTTTTTACAACTTCAACAAAACGAACACCCTCAAATTAAGAAGATACTAACAATTAAACTATCACAGATGCAATATTTAAGGCCTGTTTCCTCTAATACATTTCCCATAAGCCTCAAAGGACATTTTGTTTAAGTGTTAAATAAGTACTCAGGAAACAAGCACAACTTTGGAATTTTAAGATTAATTACCTCAACATGAGCCTCAGAGCTTATATCATTGGCATACTGAATAAGAGCAATTTCCAGCTCTGACTTGATGACACGGCATTCAGTCAATATAGGATGCAAAGTTGTCAAATCCTTATCAAACTTATCAATTCCCTAAAAAAACAAAAAAAGAAGTATAAATATACAATACAAGTAGCTCTGAGAATCAATCTCCTAAGAAAGATAAGTTAACTGGTAAGTACTACCACGTTGTCACAAATAACACAATAGTATTGGTACAGAAGACATCTTATGAAATTGAAGTTTTGGGGTTAGAAATAATACAAATCCAACAAATCACACACTGTCCTGATCAAAGCTATTAAAAAGAAAAATGCTTCTAGTGAATGGGATATAAAGGAATTATTATAGTTAAGAACCTGAAACTCTGCTGGTTTAGAGAAATTGTCACTATCTGTATTAAGGCCATGCAAGAGGAACAGTAATGGTTTTCCCGAACTCTGGTAATGTTGTTGCAAAACACTCGCAATTTCATCTGAAAAGCAAGTTGTGCTAACCATGTAGTGTTCCTGCAAGGAGGAAGCATAGATGTAAACCCCTAAACAATAACATACCCAACATGCGAATCCATTAAAATTTTATCATTGGGAGAGTCACCTTAAAATAGGAGAGTGGCTTAATCTCCCCCATCCAAACAGCATACTCAGCAGGTAACCTAGGAACAAATAGGATAGAATTCCCAGTTGCGATGTCCTTCAGAAACCAATGACATGCACAAATCAAATTAAGTTTAATGATCATACACTTTCAGTATAAAATAGTTTTGCATTGTCAAACAATTATACATATCACTGACTTTTTACTTATTTATTATAAAAGACAACATGATTGTGTTTGAGTGCAATTGCATCACAAAAATTGAAAAGTTTAAAACTATCAACTGAGTAAAATCGCTCTAGATATAACTTTTAATTTTAAAAAATATATATTACAAAATCAATAATCTTACATGCATGTTAAGTTATAATTAGCTTAACATTTTGCGTTCATTTTAATTAAATTAAAATTAAACAACATTGCTTCGGAGAAGAAAACAACTAACAATAGCTCCATAAAACCCAGACTCTTTGACTCCAAACAAGTAAGCAAAGTAACTCTCCTGCCTGCGAAGCGTGAAGCAAAGCGATTAGGGATCGATTGGCAAATACTGAAAAGACGAGTATTGGAAAAATTGAAATGGCGATGAGGTTTTAGGGTTAGGTTACCTGAATAGCTCTAAGTGATCGGTGTCGTAACGCGTTTGCTCTTCGCCACCCTGGCGCGAACAAAATCAGATGAAGAATATTAAATGAGAGACGATGGAGAGAAGTTGCAGAGACAGACCTGAAGGAGGACGAAGCCATGGAGAGGACGAGAGGATTCGGAGAGGTGTTGACGAAGCGATGTGAGAAGGTTGTTTCGGTTTTTGACATGGAGCTCCATCTTCACCTTCGGAGGTAACAGAGACGAACCCATGACGATCCCTGATGCATTACACTGTAACTGTTGCTAACCCTTGTTTTAACTGTTTAATATTATATATATATATATATATATATATATATAGGGGTGAAATATCCTTTTGAAGTAAAATTGGTAGTTTCATATTTAAATTTAGTTATAAATACGTTTTTAAACTAGTGTAACATCAACTAGTTTTGATTTTTAATATTATAAGAAAACTTTTTTATATTTAAAATTTGAAATTAGTGTGTTTTTAATAAATAATATCTCTAAATTTGACATATAATCTATTTTTATCAATATGTGTTTATTTAAATTTATGTTACAAAATATTAAATAAATTCTAAATTTTATAAAAACAAATCTGATTTCATTTATTGATAAATGGTTTAATTTAACTATTAGATCATCAAAATTTAATGTATATGATAAGTTGTTTAATAAATTAACTCTATTCATAATTACATATAAAATAACTTGATTCTTAAATATACATAGATAGAGATATATAAAATAAAGTTTATTAGTTATAAAGAGAAATAGAGAAGAAGAAAAAAGTTAGGTGACCAATAATAACGTACTATTTAAAAAAGTATTTGCATTTTTAAAAAACTAATATATATATATATAGAAAGAGAGAGAGAGATAACCCCGTTAGAAGATTTGTGTTTTTTATTCTTGTATATGTATATAATGCATGAATAATTAGATAACTCTTGTATAAGAATAATATGATAGTTATATATAATAATTTGTCGGGTCGTTTCATATTTTGTGATATTTTTTCGTGGAACTTACATATAATTTACTCAATCAACAATTTCACTAAAATCATTAAGACATTTGTTTCTTATTTATTTCTCTTTTATTTTCTCCCTCGCCTTTTTTTTTTTTACTTTTCTCTCTTTTTTCCCCCTCTCGCTCTGTGTTACTTTCTCTCTTCTCTCTTTATTTTCAATCTCATGTTTTTTTCTCTTTTTTTTAATCTCTCTCATTTATCTGTTCTTTTTCTTCTCTTTATTTTTCTCTTATTTTTTTATCTATCAATATTTTTTTCTTATATTTTTATCTATCAATATTGACATATAATTTATCAATATTTATTTTTTAGTTATTAAAATTTTAAAATCATTTTTCAATTATTTTATATCATATTGTTAATTTTTTAATTATTAAAATTTTAAAAATGTTTATTTTCAATAAAATATAATATTTAAATATAAAATTTGTAAACATATATAAAAAAATATCTTTTGAAATTTGTGTCAATTAATGAATATCATAAATTTAAACATGTTGTTCAAATTCAATAGTTTGCATAAGAAAATATAAATTCATAGATAGTTGTATACAAATAAATGTTACTTAAAAGGACATGAAATCATAATTAGTTGTTTATCAAAAGGTTGAAAAATTTATTTATTTTATTTTCTTTATTCAAACCTTATCATTTATGTTATTTTTTTTATTAACTGTATTTTTTTAAGTCTATATTGTCCTTTGAAATAAATCTTATAAATTCTTAAGATACAAATTCATCAAATTTCACATTATATGATTAAAAAAGTCTCTTTAAAAAAATCTTAAAAGTCATTACATTCTTACAAAGTTTTTTAAAATCTATAAGACTTTTTTTTGTGTTAAAAAAAGTCTTATGAATTCTCAATCTAATATACCCTCTAAAATGAAATGCCTAAAACTTTAGTTGACAATCAAAATACATGTTTCTCAATTTTTCAACTGCCCTTCACATATAAATGAAATTATTAAATCCCAAAACACGTGTGAGAAAATTATGAGAAGAATGAAAATAAAAGAAATATATATCCTCCATCTTTTTGATAACAAACACAACGTAAGATGTGAATTGAAAAATAGAGGGAGAAATTAAATACCTATTAACAACGCAAATCATATAGAGTCAGTGTGAAAAATAAATTGAACCACGTGAATAATAAAACAATCTTTATGGTAAACTTTTATGAAAGGAAATAATATATGGTAAGAAGAGAATATTCAAATATTCTCAATACATGTTCTTTTAAGCCAGTGTTAGACTTTGTCACCATTAATTCATCATCTACAAAGAACAAAAAAAATATTGAACAAAAAGTTTGATCTTACTAACACATTAATAAAAGGGAAAAACTATCAAAGTACATATCATAATAGTAGATAAAAGTCGATGGGTGGCGGAGGTGTTCTCCGGGGTGGCCGTGGAGATTGGCAATTTGGATTCTCCACATGCTATGGCCAAGGCAGTCCTTTCTCACAGAAATTCTGGCAATAACGGATGGACTGATGCATGCTTGGAGGTTGGGGTATAGAAATATAACCTGTAAAACTGACTGTATGGAAGCAGTAGATGCAATCAATATCTCTAATATGAGGGAGCTGTCACTACATGTGCATAAGGATAAGCTTTTGCAAATACATAATATTTTAAGGAAGAACTGGAGGGTGAAGATCGTGCATATCCCTCGAGAGTGGAACACAGTGGCGGATTGCTTGGATCATGAGGGAGCCAATGGTTTGATTAAAGAGTTCATTACCCCTCCACCCCTAGCCCTTGAAGCTTTCCTTCAAGATCTAGCGATTGTAGGCTAGTTAGTTTCATACTGTTCTTGTTTTCTTTCTCTTATTTTCCTTTCTCTACCAAAAAAAAATAATAGTAGATAAAAGAGAAGAACACAAAGTGAAATAAAAATTATTTATGGATCAACAAAAGACTCGTACAAGCCATAAAAAAATCAAATAAAAATCATTGAAACATGACATTCTTAATTGGTGTCATTAAATTTACTAGAGATTAATAATAATAAATGTTTGAATTTTAAAAGACATGAGAGTTTTAGAAAACAAGTAATCTAACATAATGTAGTTTTGAGTGATTTTTTTTAAAGAAACTATTTTATACCTTTAATAATATATATATATATATATATTAATGAA